CCCCCCCCCCCCCCCCCCCCCACACTGTTTCCCTCCAGTGGTTTGCTAAACCATCGCCTGGTTTCTTTCAGCCCCAGCCTGGTTTTTTGCAGACTCACCATCTGGGGGCTTGTCTTACACTTGGTTTGATTCCAGTGGGGTTAACACACCATCTGTATGAGAGATGACGTATGTGAGGAACCTTACACACATGATAGGTGTTTTGAATCCTGGAGGGCTGTCTGGCAGGGGGCTCCCCCAGGCCTGGCCCCAGGGTCCGTCCACTCGGATGTGTTGACTAAGTCACTCTGGGTGGGACAGCAGGGGCGGACCTCCCAGGAGGAATGGAAGAGAAGCAGACCCTCAGAGGGACCCACCCACCATCACCCTCATACCCCCGTTCTTTCTCACAGAAACTGAAAGGAAAGGGACTCTGATTCTGTTTTAATTGTGGTCTTTTTCTTTTTATTCTTTCATTTTTAAAAATTTCTTTATTTTAATTTTATTTTTGGCAGCGTTGGGTCTTTGTTGCTATGCGCGGGCTTTCTCTAGTTGCGGCGAGCGGGGGCTACTCTTCCTTGCGGTGCGCGGGCTTCTCATTGCGGTGGCTTCTCTTGTTGCAGAGCATGCGTGGGCTTCAGTAATTGTGGCGCACAGGCTTAGTTGCTCCGTGGCATGTGGGATCTTCCCGGACCAGGGCTCGAACCCATGTCCCCCGCATTGGCAGGCGGATTCTTAACCACTGCGCCACCAGAGAAATCCTAATTGCGGTCTTTTATTTTGTGTTTTTTTTTTTTTGTGATACGTGGGCCTCTCACTGTTGTGGCCTCTCCCGTTGCGGAGCACAGGCTACGTATGCGCAGGCTCAGCGGCCATGGCTCACGGGCTCAGCCGCTCCGCGGCATGTGGGATCTTCCCGGACTGGGGCACGAACCCGTGTCCCCTGCATCGGCAGGCGGACTCTCAACCACTGCGCCACCATGGAAGCCCTAATTACGGTCTTTTAAATGAGCACTTACTACTCTGTGCCAGGTGCTGGGCATGCAGAGGGAATAAGCCTGCGTCCCTGCCCTCCGCTTGGCTGGAGGCTGGTGTGGGTGGTCTGTCTCTCCCCAGCCCGTGCCCCCTCCCTCAGCTCTGCTAGCTTGGAAGGGCTCTGTGGTGGCCCTTGTGGGGCCCTTGGGAATGACAGCAACCCATGGCCACAGAAGGGAGTCTCCGAGTGAGGGCAGAGACAGGGAGCTGAGTGAGTGAGGGAGGGAGGGAGGGAGAGGAAGGCCGCACACCCCAGACACCCCTGGAGAGAGCGGCAAGATCACTTACCTCTGTCCTCCTTCTCATCCACAGGTGGACCCTGGGGGAAGCCTTAGGAACCTCCTTCACTGACCCAGAGATGGTAGCCAGGTGGGGACCTCACATGAGTGATTGGATGTTAGCATCAGTGAGCTCTCTGAGAGCTCCTTTCCAAATCCCAAAGGATGGAAGGCCAGTGTGGACAGTGACTTGTGCACAGCGCCCCCGGCCCCCGGCTCCTGGACAGTTTTCTTCTGGCTGTGCTGTGCTGAGTCTTCCTCCAAATCCGCTCCCCCAAAGGACTTTCCCACAGTGGGGCGGGGTCTGGAATTGGAGGGACTCTTGTCTCCACCAAGGGGCTGCTGAGCAGAAATGTGGGTGTCTTAAGTACCAGAGAGGAGCTGGGAGCTGGGCAGACCCCGAGTTGGCCCTGTGTCTGTGGTCCTTGACGTTCTCTAGAGTCTGGCTCTCATATGCTTCCGTTCCTGGCTGTGGTCCCCTCTCCGGGTGGCCCTGCCAGCCTGGGGCTCTCTGGAACTTGGAGAAAGTGTGGCAGAATCTGCAGAACAGTGTCTCCCTCTGTCCCTGCTACACACACACACACACACACACACACACACACACACACACACACACACACACACACACCCCTTGTGTGAATTCCCTCCCTCCTTCCCGGTGGTCCCTAAAGCAAGGAATCTACAGGAAGCCATCAATCTTGTACCCTCATCCAAGGTCCTTTGTTTCTGAAGCCCATCAGGCACCCCTGGTGTAGGCCCAACTGCCAGGCTGAGCAACATGCTGGCCCTTGTGCCCGTCAATTCCTCTGAGCGAAGGGTGTCTCCTTCCCTTCTCTTCCAGCCCTCTGCCTTTGAATTCTGCTTGGATGTCACCTCTTGAGTGGTCTCCTGACTCTGCTCTGGCAGAACTGCCTTCTCCTTGCTTAGGGCTCCCGCTTTGCCTCCCTTCAGCCCCCATCACGACGTGTTCTGCTCCCCGCACCAGACAAGCATCCCTGGAGGGCAGGGGCCGCATCACCCCCTTGGTAGCCCTTATAACCGAGTGCTTAGTGCCTGGCATCAAGTGGGCACTCCACACAGGTCAAGAGAAAGAGCCCAGAGTTCCCGTTCATTGGATTTATGGGAACTTCCTGCTCTCTGTTCTAGAAAACGGTCTGTTTTGTTGCTCGCAGGCAACTCTATTCAGCTTTCCTCCCTCTCATTGATGCCCTCTGTGTGCCGTGAGGTATGAAGGTAAAGAAGTAGGTAAAGAAGGTGAAGATGCAGGAGGATTGGATAGAAGGCTCTTTTGTCGTAAGATGGGGCCTGGACCTGGGCAGTGCAGTGTGGGCGGGGCAGACTGGCAGTGGGTTCCCACTTTCCCTGGATTTGGTTTGTTTCCAGTGTCCTTGGTGTTCCCGGTGGGTGGCTCTGGGCCAGTTTGCGGGACCCTGTCATATCACCTTCTGCAGGGCTGCAGGGCCCTAGTAACGCAATCTCCTTTGCTTTCCTTGTCT